ACACAAACACGCACACGCAAACAAACACACACGCACACAAACACAAACACACACACACACACGCAAACAAACACACGCACACACACACACACACAAACACACACACAAACACACAAACACACACACAGAGTCAGAACGTGAACATGCCGAAGCCGGGTAAAGGCCCCGGTACCAGTCTACTGTTCAAAGTCTGTTTGTGCTTGTTTCCCAGGAGGGACGCTGGGCCCGATTCCCAGCAGGTGGCGGTCCCTCCCAATGCCCAATGTACCGGAGCAATAGACGCTAGGCGTGAGAGGGAAGGTGCTCGTATCACTTCTCCTAGGAGCCCAACGACGTTTTTTTTTTTTTTTTTTTTTAGATTTATTTTAAGTACAAGAGATAGCAGCGTCTGTTGGACGATATTTATATTTTCATATCTATCTAACTTTGTATCTATATATATTTATGCTTTCATATCTATCTAACTAGTATCTATGTATATATATTGATATATATCATATATATCGTCATATATATATATATATTCATTTATCGTGGCGATATATCTACATATGTATTATCCCCGGGGGCCAGTTCTCTATGATATGATGGTAAGTCCCACGACCTCGCTACCGGCTTCCCCCGAACACAACGCACCCTTATTTTAGCTGTATCTGGCCGGAAATATAGCTTGTATACATTCATTTTTAGGGCGCCTTAGTTTCGGGGTAAGACGGTAGCTCCCTGCTACGGTCCTATCCGGCCATGCTGCGCATTTACAGTAGTGCCAGCAGTTCTCTGCCTTGTGCCTCTTTTTTCTTTTCTTTCCGGAGTGTATTTTCGGGCCGTGACAGACCTATCTTGTTTGGTGGGGGTGGCGCTGCCCTTATGATGCAGAGTTTTCATGGGGGTTTTGCTGATGTGCTTATGATGGGCTGTGAACCTGGAGTCCGTACGGTTTTCCGTGTGGTGTGCCTGGCAGTGAGTGATAGTCTGCTATGACTTTTGTCATAATTCGTCCCTTTGTAGAGACTCTGAGAGGGAGATTGTATGGGGACTCTGTTTATGATACTCTACCTTAACCCCAGGAGAAGGCCTGGCTGCTGGATCTGGATCTGTTTGGTGTGGACTTCTAGCGCTCGCTACCAGATACATCGAATTCAGTCTCACTTTCCGGCTATCAGTTGTCGGGCAGTCTTGGATGGTTAATCCCAGTGACAGATAGAAGTGATACTAGAAGTGATAGTGATACTAGAAGTGGATAACTAGAAGTGGATAACTAGAAGTGGATACCTAGAAGTGGATAACTAGAAGAAGTGGATAACTAGAAGTGGATAACTCGAAGTGGATAACTAGAAGTGATTCTATATCTGTTCAGTCACTGGTTAGAATTCAATCTCACTCGCCGGCTATCAGTTTACTGGGGGGTTTAAAAAAAAAAAAAAAAAAAAAAAAAAAAGGTGCATAGTCACGTAGAGGATCACAGGTTAGGGGACTCTGCAGACTGTAGAGGGTTCAGCCTCCTGATGAGCGAGTCAGTGAAACTCCGATGAAACACAGCGCCGCGTTTGTTTCCCTCCCTCTTTCCCTCTCTGCCTACGGTTCACCGGGCAGTTCTCTATGGCATAGATAGATAGATACATACATAGATAGATAGATAGATAGATAGATAGATAGATAGATAGGAGATATAAGGTAAAGATAGATAGATTGATTAGATAGATAAGGTAAAATAAGATAGATACGATAGATAGATATGATTACATTGATTAGATGGATTAGGAAGATCAGATAGATTAGATGGATTTATTAGATTACGTAGATAGATAGATAGATTGATAGATAGATTGATAGATAGATAGATAGATAGATAGATAGATAGATAGATAGGTAAATAAGATACACAAGATAGATAGATAAGATGAGATAGATTAGGTAGATTAGATGATAAATTGATTAGATAGATAGGTAGATAAATAAATAGGTAAATAAGACATATAAGATAGATAAGATGGATTGGATAAGGCAGATTATATAAGAAAGATTAGACAAATTAGATAGATAGATAGATAGATAGATGGAGAAATACTCTCTTCATGTTTTTTTTTTTTTTTTTTTTTTTGGTTAAAGGTGCCCAAAGTTCCCGGCTTTTATGAAAAGGAAAAAAAAATAAAATCTTGATAGGAATAAGTATCCGTTCACTCTAAAAAAAAAAAAAAAAATTTATCCGTTCACTCTTTTAGGAAAGAGAGAAGCAGGTATGTATCTTCCTGCCGTCTGGTCGGGACAACATCAGGATGGAGAAATACTCTCTCTCTTAGACGCAGGGGAAAACAAATGCAATTCGCGTCCCTGGGCCTCGCTCCACTACTACACAACACTGTACATGCATTTGTACGTTCTCTGGACCACGTGCGTTCGAACGAGTCAGTCCCACATTTCGAAGGTATCGGTATCGAATAGCGTCCAAGTGCATGGAGAGTGCTTTGCAGTGGAGCGAGGCCCCTTATTGGTGTTACGGCGAACACAACGCACCCTCGTTATGACTGCATTTTACCGTAAAGACAGCTGTTATACATTTATAATGATGGTGCGTTGCGTTCAGGGGAAGAGGCTATAGCTTGCCTATACCAACCACCGAACGTAGACGAGTACACGGTTAAAATGATGAGCCCGATAACGGGAAAAAAAAAAGAGAAAGGAAAAGGAAAAAAAAGAGAGAGAAAGAAAGATAAGCCCCCCCCAAGTTGGATCATTCCTCGATTTTCTGCACCTCTTCACTAGACCGTCCAGCATCGATCTATTTATTTATTTGTATTGCAAGATCTACACCTTAGGTTCGAACCCCAACTCCGACAGAAAAAAAAAAAAAAAAAAAAAAAAAAAAAAAAAAAAAAAAAAAAAAAAAAAAAAAAAAAAAAAAAAAAAAAAAGAGAAAAAAAAG